CAAGCCATGATAATACATGGAAGAAATTAAAGTGCATATTACTAAGTAAAATAAACCAATCTGAAAGGATACACACTCTGATTCCAAGTATGTGATGTTCTGGAGAGAGCAAAACTACAGAGACAGTAAGAAGATTAGCGGTTGGTAGGGGAAGAGTGAATAGACACAGTACAAAGGATTTTTAGGGCAGGGAAAATACTGTATGAGACCATAATGGTAGATACATGTCCTTCTACATTTGTTCAAACACAAAGAATGTACACCACCAAGAGTAAGCACTAATGTAAACAATGGACTTCGGGTGATGATGTGTTAATGTACGTTCACCAGTTTTAACAAATGGGCCACTCCAGTGAGCAATAGGCAGAAGCTATGCATATATGGAGGCAGGGAATATATGGGAACTCTCTATACCTTCCACTGAATTTTGCTGTGAATCTGAAACTGTTCTAAAATGATTAAATCTTATAAAAAGAAGAAGGCATGACAGCTGGTCCCATGTAGTTGCTGGAAGAGAGAAAAAAGTGAGTGAGAATGAAAGGAGAAGGGACTTTGAACAGTCCTCTCCCGCACCACCACCCCCTAAATACAAAAATTAAGGTAAATCTATCAGTTGGTAAGTACTGATCTTTATAAATCTGTCCAACAGTCTATGCGAATATACCTAAAAATTATTGCTTCTTGCCATAGTAGTTTTACACATTGGATATTTACTTAAAATTTTCAGACTATTGAGAAGTTCCTAGTTCTCAACCTACCACTGAAAATTTGTGATGTTCAGTGATTCTTTGTAGTGATAAAGCACTGTTAAGTATTTCCAGCAATGCAACAAGCAATGAAATTTTGACTTTAGATAATTACTCTCATTTTCAGTGAGTTTGCATTATGAGGTAATGCATTACATAGCTAAGGAGTGCTATTCTTATGTCTAACATATTTTAAGGGATGTATTAAATACATAAAAATCTATTAGAAAATTTTACTGGCCTAAATTGATATAAAAGTCCACCATTACTTTGGCATGGAAATGATTTGTTACAGTTAACTGATTTATCAAAACTTTAAAATATGTGAGTACCTTTTTAAAAAATTGATTCTACTTTCAATACAAGGCCCATCACCAGATCATAGCCTAGTTCTTCCCATCTAAAACAATATGACCACAAAATTGTACTACAGTATAAGACAGTTTTAACAGCCATTTGCTGTTGCAGATTGACTACTTCAGCAAAGCATTTTCCTCACCTTACCACTAATAGATTATATCGCTGCAAAGAAAGAAACTCTGAGGTATATTATCAACACTATTATATATTGAAAGTGATGGTCTTAATTACTCTTCCATGGAAAGTGGTCCAACTCTCCACCCCTTGAATCTTTCCACCCATGCAATACAGCAGCACTGATAACTACCAAGTAATACTAATGGGGATGGAGTCAGCACAACTTTTAAGTTTTGGGGGTTTTGTTTGGTTTTGTTTTTTGGGGTTTTTTTTGGTAACAGCTTTATTGTGATTTAATTCACATACCATGCAATTCACCCATTTAAAGTGTATAATTCATTGGCTTTTAGTTTATTCAGAGTTGTGCACAATCAATTCTAGAACATTTTCATCACTTCAAAAAGAAACCCTGTATGGATGGATAAACAAAATATGCTATATACGTACAGTAGAATATTATTCAGCCTCAAAGTTCGGACATGCTACAACATGGATGAACCTTAAAGACATTTTGCTAAGTAAAACGAGCCACTCACAAAAAGACAAGTACTGTATGATTCCTCTTAAATAAGGTACCTAGAGTAGTCAAATTTATGGAGACAGAAAGTAGAATGGTGGTTGTTATGGGCTGATAAGAGGGCAGCAGAATGGGGAGTTACTATATTTGAATACAGTTTCAGTTTGGGAAGATGAAAACGTTCTGGAGATGGTTGGTGGTGAGGTTCCACAATGTGGATGCACTTAATGGTCAATTTTATGTTATGTATATTTAACTACACTTTTTTAAAAAAGAAAAAGAAATCCCATTCCCATTAGCAGGCACTTTCCATTTCTCCTCAAGCCCTAGGCAACCAATAACCTACCTTATCTCTGTACAGATTTGCCTATTCTGGATATTTCACATAAATGGAATCATAATATTTGTTTGGCCTTTTGTGTCTGGCTTTTGCTTTGCATAGTGTTTTCAAGCTCAATGATGTTGCAAATATTAATACCCATTCCTTTTTATGACCAGTATGCAGCTGTACATTTTACTCCCCAGTTGTGTACACTTTTTGGCTATTATGAATAATACTATGAACATTCGTGTGTAAGTTTTAATTTGAACATAGTTTTAAATTATCATATTACTTGTAATACCTAAAGCATAGCATGAAATTGTTGGGTCATATTGTAACTCTATGTCTTCGTCTTTGATGTAGTCCGGGTGTATTTCCCAAATTAACTACCATTTTGCATTCCCACCAGGAGAGTTTTTTCTAATCTTTTTAAAAACAAACGGACATCCTTGGGCTGTGATAAGGAAAACTAAAGGCCTTGCAGGGTGGGAGCACGCATGACTAAATTAAATAGGTTGGAGGGCAGGTGGTCTAGACACTCTGGCGACTGGGACCCCAAGGATCCCGGCAGTCCCCGCGCCTCCAACGGCAGGAGAGGCGCGCATGCGCCGACGGTCTTCCTGCTTCCAGCTCCAGGCGGCGCGTGACTTGTGGAACTCTCCGGGTGCGACGTGGGTGTCACTGCACTGCTGGGTTGGGGTCCGCGCCCCTGACGTTAGCACTGTGGGTGGGAGGGATCCTGGATCCCAGGGTGTGAGGCGGGATTATCCGCTTTGGTTGTGAGGTGTCTTCCTGCTGACGCGGCATGGAGAGGACACTCAACCCACGCCTGTGCCAAGTGAACCAGCTCAAGTTCTTTCGACCATGGGATTACTTGTAGGATTTTAACCCTGTTCGCTTATTTAATGCTTTTCCACAGGCTTCGGTTTTCTTTCCTCCACTTTCCCCTTCCTTGAAAATGCATCCTTCCCCAGGTCATCTGCTTTACACAGGTGGTACCTAGAGCCTTCTGTCTACCTGTTTTTTTTAAAGCTACTGAACCAGGCCCTGATTTGTGTGACGCTACTGCTTATACTATCTGGGTGTCCCAAGAACCTGTCAAAGACATACTGAAATGAGCTTCACCTCATCATTCTCCTGCTCGTCTCCTGGTTTCCATATTACCATTAGAGCAGCAGCATCCACCCGCCACCATATTGAAAACTCAGACTAGTCACCAGAGCCGGTGTGAAGTCTCTAAAAGTCTAGAATCCAAACCCTCTGTTCTGTTTCCGAATGCCCCAGATTAGGCCATTCCTCTTTAAGGACTATTTCAATAGCTAGAAACTATCGATTCTTACTCTATTCCAACGTTTTTCTGCTCAGGCAGCAGGGTTTTTTGTGGAAAGTCTCATAACCTAAGGATGACATGCTATTTGGCAAACAAAAACGTTTTATTTCCCTTTGGGTAGGAATTTTTTAAGTTGATTTTTAAAATCTGACCATGTTATTCCCCTGTTAAAAACTCTGATGGCTTCCTTTTATCTATGTAATCATCATGGACGACTACAAAAGCTTGGACGATTATAAAAAGCTGTCATAATCCGGTTGAGCCTCACCTAACCATTTCATTTTCAATAGACTCTTCTATTCAGCCACAGAAACCTCACGTTCTAATGAAGCACAGATAGTGTCCTGAACACACTTTGAGATCATTATGGCCCAGAGAAATAAACAATGAAGTTTCCCCCTTATATAATACTGAAAATGACAGTATTACTTTTCTTTGGAAAGTGGTCTGAACTCCAAGTAGTAGGGGTATGAATGGTTTTAGCCTATCTTTAGAAAACTTTCTCCTCCCCTCTTTACCTATCCTTCAATTAGTGAAATCTTATTCATCTATCAAATGCTTCCTGTAAAGAATTCCTCACTTCTTCTCTAAGTCTCCACGTATTTAATTGATATGTCCTAAAACCATTTAAGACATTATGACTCCTTCATAAGGATGACCCCACATTTTGTGAATTATTTTATATATGTTGTTCCCTCCCTACTCCCTAGTACATTAATATTTCTTTCATAGCACACAAGTTGTAACAACATATCTGTTATTCCTCACTGTACTCTTCCTGAACAACAGGGACCATATTTTTCCCATTTTTGTATCCCCAGTGCCTAGGACAGTCTGGTATATAATAAGTAGTAAATGCCCAATAAATATTTGATGATGAAAGGTGATCGTATTATTTCTGATTTCTCTAAATTGGCAGCTCTGTGAAGGCAGAATTCTATCTTAAGTCATATTATCACTGAATATAATTATGAGCATATATTGTTTCAATGAGTGCTGTCTTTAAATGATTTTATATTATCCACTCTCTACTTGTTACTGAAGTTAGTTTGTTTTGTGTTGGTCACTGATAGAAGATTTAAGTCAGAAGGGGCTTCATCATTTAATACAACTCATTTCCTATAGATGAAGATTCTGAGCCAAATGAGGCCAGGTGATTTCCCTATACCAGCTAGGAAATGCTGGGTCTGGAACCAAATTCTCAGTTTTCTTAGATTAACCAGACTTTGTTAGATTGAATTTATGAAACGACTTTTAAAGCTTTCATTTTTTAAAACAATGCCTGCAAGGGCACCTCATAATCCAATATTTATTACAAAAAGCTTTTTTTGTAATACTACTCTGTAAAGAGATATTTGAAGTTCCTGTTCTTAAGTTTGCAGTTTTGTGGAAAGTCTCATAACCTAAGGATGACTCATGCTATTTGGCAAACAAAAACGTTTTATTTCCCTTTGGGTAGGAATTTTTTAAGTTGGAATTTTACCTCATTTTATTTTACTCTTAATTTTAAGTTTAAAAATCTATAAAGTTTAATTAGAGATCTTCAAATGTAAGTTTTACTTTTTTTATTTCTAGGTGTTCTCATCGTTTTTATGAGTTTCACCATCTGTAGTTAGTCTTTACCAGCAGTCGTGGTTTAATCAATTAGTAATACAGAGGAATCATTAACTAGGAGAAAATGTCAAGTCTAAGAATGAAAGAGGCAGCCCTTATCTATCTTGATAGAAGTGGAGGCCTTCAGAAGTTTATTGATGATTGCAAATATTACAATGGTATGTGCAGCAAAGATGGCTTTATTTTAGAAACTTTGAAATAATTCCTGTATATAACTATCCTCATTTTTATATTTATGGATTTTTTACAGATTCAAAACAAAGTTATGCTGTCTATCGATTCAATATTTTAATAAATCCCTCTGATGTTGTTGAATTAGATGCTGAACTAGGAAATCACATTTTACACCAGCCTTTAAAAGCTGCTCAAGTATTTCAATCAGTAAGTTAAAAAGAAAGAAGTAATTTTATGCCACATGAAATTTTTCATAACTTTTTTGTTTGTTTGAAATTACAGGTCTGTTTTACTGCTGTTAAAACTCTCTCATTAATTGGACAATTACAAACTGAAACCCAAGTAAGTTTTTGTTAAATTTAACAAAGAAAACTAAGGTGCAGTACTTCGAAGATGACTTGTGTATTTTTATTTTTAAATGATCTTAATATTATTATGTTCATATATTGTTTTGTTTATTAAAAAGGACAATACATATTTTTCAGAGTTCAATGGACTATCTTAATATGCATCTTTGCTTTCTATATTGTCACTTATAACATTAGACATTTTTATAATAAAGCACTTAAAACATACTCCAAATTAAAGAGAATACATTGAATTTCTGTATGTCTATCAATAATTTAATAGCTTACAGTATTTTGCCATACCTGCATCATCAATTTTCTTCTCAAATATTTTAAAACAAATCCCAGACATTTTATTATTTCACCCCTACCTACTTCAGCATTAAACTATAAAAATTGTGGGTATTTTTCTTATATAACCACAATGCCATTTATCACCCCTTAGAAAAATAACAATGGTTCCTAGTATTGTCTATATCCAGTCTATATTTAAATTTACCCAGTTGGAGTCTTAAGAATGTCAGCTGATTTGCTCAAATCAGTATCAAAACAAGGTCTACACATTATAATTGGTTCTTATATATCACTGCCTCTTTTAATCTAGAGCCATTTCCTCCTCTTTCCTTTTTATACTGTTAAGTTTTGAAGATACTAGTTAATTAACCTGTGGAATGTCTCATAATCTGGATTTGTGTGATTATGTTCTTGTGATATTTAACTTACTCTTCTATACCTCATATTTCTGGAAAATAGAAGTTGGCCCTAAAGACTTAATTAGATTCAAGTTCAACTCATTTTGACAAAAATATATCATTGTGCCGTGTATTTCATTTTGCACTACATTAGGAGAACTATAGTACCTGTTGTCCCGTAGCAATGCCTGATTGCTAAATCACAACTGATCAGTGAGTTCAGGTGATCTCAGTCTCTTCCCTCCAACAAAGGGCCTCCCATCAACTTTCACCTAATAGTTTTTGCTGCCATTGATAATCGTTGCCTAGAATCCATTATTTCATTAGGAGTTGCAAGATTATGATTTTTCTAATTTTTAGCAACCTTTCTGACTTTATTAGCTGAAATTATTCTATAAGAAAAGTTTTCTTTCATCAACTATTTGACTACCCTGAAATACAATTTGTACAAGAAAGGCAGAATAAATGTTTAATTTTTTCCATTTATACATATTCAGAGAGTAATGAGTTGAGATCTAGCATCCTCTAAAGGTAAACATAAGTTTTTTGTTTTTTGTGTTTTTTAATTAAGAGGAACTCATAACTTTTTAAATATATCTGTTGTATTTCAATGAATTTTTGGCATTCTTTATGACCCTTACATGTTCCTACCTTTGGTCTTTGGGAGTCTCTTAAAATTTGCTCCTGTGTCTTTTTGACACATCCTATAGTTTTTTATAGCTCCCTTGGTTTCTGGCTCAAAGAGATGAATCAGATCCTGATATATTTTCTGCCCAGACATGAAATCAGCCATTTCCCCTGAGGAGCTCTTGTTCCTTTTAGTGAGAAATGATATTTAGAGATCACAATCTGGGCACTAAAGTTCATTGCTATTGGGTTCTCATTGTTTTATAAGTCTTTTCAGTGGATACAGTGAGAAAATGTGTATTTTTAAGGAAAAATAATGAGTTCATAATTAAAATGTAAGATTATAAGGGTTTTGAATCTTTAATTTTATATTTTAAATCTTTTATGCATAATATTTTGGTTGCTGATAACACTAACAAATCATTTATTTACCCTACAAATATACCTTCTTTATTGTAATATAATTCAATAATATAAGTTCTCTGCAATTTTTATTAATACAATTTTAATTTTCTTATTAGATTAATATAGTGCTGAAGTTAACACATTTACCTCCTCTGCCAAGTTATAGTCTTGATCTTTGTGAGTTTCCACTTGATTATACATCTCAAAGGTTTTTTATGATGCAAGGAATAGTGATTGCAGTGACAACTGTAACCAAGTATACGCAAGGTGCAAGATTTCTTTGTTCAGATGAAGCATGCCCTCTTTCAAAAGGTAAATATTAAAATTAAAATTGAAACATCAAAAGCAATTTATTGTTTAATCCTGAATCATGTTTACAATTAGTTATGACACATTCACAGAAGAGAAAAAATGGAACAAAATAAGGCGTGTCTTAATATTTATAAAGTTTACATGGCATATCTTTAAATACATTCCTTCTTCACTTCTCCCCCTCAACTCAATAGGTGCTCCTGTATTGCTGAAGTACTTGCTCTTCTCACACATTGTCTCATGACTCTTCATGCTGCTCCCTCTCCATGTAATGTCCTCTCTTAACCTTTTGGCTTAATCCCATTTCAGTCCTTCTCCAGGATACCTTTTCCTTTCATCCCCACCTTTCTTCTCTCTGAACACTCTGTAAATAATACAACATATTGAAATGATCTGTTTCTTATTGCTACCTGTTGAAATTGTGTGTTTAACCATATCACTAGTGCCTTAGCACAGTGCCTGGCAAAAAGTGGCCATGCAATAAATGTTAATTGAATTGCTTGAACCCCATGCAAAATTCATTTTCAAGGATTGAAAATAGATAGTTAAATCTAAAAGCAGATTTAGCTTACTTCTGTGTTCTTTCAGGATTTCAGTACATAAGAGTGCATATGCCTGGTGCTACAGAATCTGCAACAGTAAGGAACGACTTTTTGTGTAATCTATGTTCATCTTCACTTCAAGAAGACAGAAAATTCAGAGTACTTGGTGGTAAAAATACATTTATATTTTTAATTACAATTTTTAAAAAGTTTGATATTTTAATGTGGAAATTAAATTGAATATATATTCTAATAACTATTTTATGCTCTTTGCTTTAAGATAAACAGATAGTTGAAATTATTACTGCAAAGGCACTTCATGCCTTTCAAGGATATTCTAACAATCAGCCATTTAGGTTTCAATCTCTTACTATTTTCCTAAGAGGTAAGTAAGTTCTGTTTGAATTAAAAGAATATTGCTATAAAATATGTAACACATTTAATTGACTTGTTTATGCTGATATATTATAAATGGTACTTCTGTAAATTAAGAATAGTAGGTCTTATTCTTGAGTATATAAAGAATCATATTTAATGTATCAGTTATTCACTTAGTCATACAACACTTAAAAAGATATTAGCACCTGCTATGTCCCAAGCTCTATGCTAAATCCCAGGGTCACAATTATTTATAGTAATGAGCTCCCATTATTTTATGTGTGTGTCTTATGTAAGTATTGGAGTTACTGTTTTGAATATAAGCTTCATGAGGGTAGGGAATTGGCTTTTTTACTGCACATAGTAAAAACTCAATAAATATTGGTTAAATGAATGAACATTGATGTATAATTGATATATAAGAATTATTGCATGGCTAAAAGACCTGTGATTAAACAGAGTCTGCCTTGATGGAAGAAATTATCAGTATCAATCACCCAGGGAAGAGGTGAGTCTTCACTGAGAAGGCAAAACTGTGCAAATGAGAATGAGGCTCAGCTTCTTTTCTTGGGCTGATATTGTAGGAATTAAACTGTTGAGGAGAGATCTTAGATATCAACCATGTATAGGAAACTCTGGAGTTAGAAAAGTAGAGCCTCAAAGAACTCTTTTCACCATGCCTGACAAGGATGAGGCAGACATGTAAGCCAGATATAATATGTAATTTTTATATAGCACCTTCTACATGCCAAGCACTCTTACTTATATTAACTCATTTAGTCACAGTAACCCTATTGAGTAGATTCCATTGTTTTCCCCATTTTACAGTGCAGAACCCAATGCACAGAGAAATTAGGTAACAGTCACTGAACTAGTGACTACATGGCACAACCAGGATTCAAACTTGGACATTCCAACCTCAAAGTCTATGCTATTGTATTAAATACTACATATAAACCATACAATATCGAAATATATTTAGCCATCTGACTTATATTTTAGTAGAAAACTCTTCAAGTTAATTCTATATAGAACCCAAATATATTTTTAAAGATGAAGTTAGTAAAAGTAGGCCTTTGGGGGTTCACATCAGAAGAAATACCTAGACTTCTCAGCCTCTTGCCTTCCTTTTGACCTTTCCTTGACTTCAGGACATATCCACCAAACTATAAGATTCCACAGAACAGTTGAAAAACTGTTCAATTTTATTTTTCCCTTGTAATTCATTCTGTATTCTTTAGTTGTTTTTGTTGTTTGGGTGGGTGGTTTTGGAATTTTTATTTTTTGATTCTTCACTTCCAAGTCTATAGGGTTCACAAATATGCTCTTTGAAGCTGAGAGAGAGAGAGAGAGAGAGAGAGAGAGAGAGAGAGAGAGAGAAGAAAATGGGGATCACTCTTTGATCTTTACAGAGAGAAGTTAATCCTCGCTCCTTCTTGTACTCCTCTTTCATAGCTTCACAACCACCCAACTAACAGTTTAATTGTAAGATCAATATTTTTAGTGTATGTTTTTAAAAATGAATTTTGAACTTTGCAAAAGCTTTGCCCAATCTGTAGATATGAGAGGACCCTAGTATGTATAAGAAGGAGACCTTGGGGAGACTGACCTACCTGTAAATTTCTGTTTTGCTACTTACTATTTAGCCTTGTGCAAGTTACTTAAGCTCTTAGTTTTTTCATATATGAAATGGGGCAACAATAGTTGTCTTACAGTTAACAATTAGGTACTGTATGTAAAAGTACCTTGCCTACATTGTAGACAATGAATGATACCTTCTAAAATTATTTTCTTCCCAAATAATATTATTACTTAAGAGGTCATTTTTATTAACATTTCTTGTCATTTTATGCAAAGAATTTCATCTTAAGTAGAATGATCTTTTTTCCTTTGATTGTATTATAGGAGACTACCTTGTTGCTATGTTACATGCTTCTTGAAGTTAATTCATCATTACCTGTAACTATCAAAATTTTCAGGAATAAAATTGCCTCAATTTACATATTTGTGCCAGTATAGATGGATAGTATACTAAACGAAAGTAAATACAACTAATTCAACTACTAAATTGTTGAATTCGTTTTAGATCTTTGAAGCATATGATCATGGAAAAAGTTTGTTTAATAAATACATATTTTATTTTATGTTTAATAATTTTAGATGAATCAGTGAATAAAATGAGTATAGGAAATGAGTATAAAATTATTGGAATTCCAGCCTGTGTAAAAACCTCACAAACTTCTGTTTGTATGGAGGCAAATAGCATCACTTTTTGTAATCCAAAAGGTAAGGAAAATGCTGATATCATGTATTGACATATCTAAGTTTAAGTCCATTTGTTCAGGAAATAAATACTGGCTGCCTATGTGCTGGACACTTTTCTAAGCACTAGGGATACGGATGTGATCAGGACTGTCAAGGTTCCCACTCTTAAATCATATGGTAGACAGTCAATAAACCTGTAAACTAATCAATAGGATGTTTTCAGATAATAAATTCTATGAAGGAAATAAATGGGAAAATGTAGAACCTTGTCCATATGAAGGACTAGTTTCTTTTGGCCAACTCTTACTTTGACTTTTTTGTAATTAGCAATGAGAAAATGTTTCAGGATGCCAAGAGTTAGAGATTAGTTAAAAGGGTTTTCTACCCAACCCTTTATTTTCTAGCTTAGGCAATCCTAAGTAACTGTATAATCTGATAAAAAGAGCCAAATAAAATAGCCCAGTGAAAGTAAAATTTTCTCTTCGGAGTTCTTAACCAATCAAGAAATAAGACAAAATAAAAAGACATATGGGGGCCAAAATATCATTGTTACTACTGATAATAATTTCTTTTAACTACTCTCACATAATCAAGCATTCAGTAAACAAAAGTGGAGGGCAGTAGAAGTGCCTACTCTTCTAACTTGGCACACAAATATCTAAATATAGGAAAGGTAAGTTAAATCTTGAATTAGAGTTAGATTTTTTTGGAATCGCTAGATGACCCATGCTGAATTGAAATACAAGTGGATTCTAGATACCTCTGCTTATCTTGAAGAAAAGAGCTTCTTAAAAGAATAAAAATGTTGAAGTACAAAAGCACTAATGGACAATAGACATTTTAGTGTTCTTTTAAATGTTTTTCAACCATGAAGTGTTTCCAGATTTATTGATTTGGTAGCAGAACATGATTTAAATGTAGGTGGAAAAGTATGCTTTCCCATGCTGAACTCCAGAATTAGGCAGATATTACCACCCATATGTGGCAAGAATTACACTAAGGTAGACCTCCCTTGGTCCATGGGCATAGATGAGTAGGGGTTATCATTTTCCTGTCATGACAGCCCAAAAAGAAGGAAAGAGGGCCTGGGTTATAGAGGCACACTATTCCTTCCAAACTGGCCATGAATTAAATCACACATCCCTTTCAGGAGTTGGACAGAATGAGGGAATAGAGAAGACCTAGAATATTACAGTATAATATGTTGTACAGTACTTTAAAAGTAGTAGACAGATGCACCCCTATGTTTATTGCAGCACTATTTACAATAACCAAGAAATGAAAGCAACCTAAGTGTCCATCATTAGATGAATGGATAAAGAAGATGTGATGCATACACACAATGGAATATTATTCAGCCATAAGAAGAAAACAAATCCTACCATTTGCAACAACATGGATGGAGCTAGAGGGTATTATGTTCAGTGAAATAAGCCAGGCAGAGAAAGACAAGTACCAAATTATTTCACTCATATGTGGAATATAAGAACAAAGGAAAAACTGAAGGAACAAAACAGCAGCAGAATCACAGAACCCAAGAAAGGACTAACAGTTACCAAATGGAAAGGGACTGGGGAGGATGGGTGTGAAGGGAGGGAGAAGGGTGGGGAAGAAGAAAGGGGGCCTTACGATTAGCATGTATAATGTGGGGGGAGCATGGGGAGGGCTGTGCAACACAGAGAAGACAAGTAGTGATTTTACAGCATCTTACTACGCTGATGGACAGTGACTAATGGGGTATGTGAGGGGGACTTGGTGAAGGGGGAAGTCTAGTAAACATAATGTTCCTCATGTAATTGTATTAATGATACAAAAAAAATGGAGTGGGAGAAGGAAAGGAATGTGAGTTACAGATCCTTAAATGGGAATTGTTGATTTTTTGGCAAGAGAGTTCTGACCAACAGGCAAGGGTTTATCTAGCTGTACATGGGGAGAGAAGGAGCTGAGAGTGGGTGTATCCTAAAGGCAAAGTGGAATATGGTGCTTGTAGGCTGTGTTCTTGGTTTAAAAAAATCAGAATGGGAATGCATGCATATTAGACTGCGTTTATATAATATATGCAAACTATTTAGCCTAGTATCAGCTGCTCAAATTATAGCTGAAAAATAAACATCCAAGCTACTTAGAAAAAAAAAAAGTAGTAGAGTATAAATCGTACCTTTTAACAGCAACATTCAAATATTTCCGATTCTGCTTGTTAGCCCTCATTAAAGGTGATATTATTTCAAACATGGAAATATAGAAGCAAACAGTACAATACAGGAGCCACATGATCTGATTTTGCTTACATGGATCTTAAAGTAAGAATGAGGGATTTGCTTGCAATTCCATGTAGACATACAGAAAGACTGTTTCCTTTTATTACAATCCCTGGGATAGAAACAATAGACCAGAGTGACCTCCAATCATAATACAAATCTGAATATGGCATCATTAAAAGAACTGCAATTTGATGTTTTAGGTAAATGGAATTATGTGTTTCTAATGTCATCTTCTTGTTTTAAACTCTTTTTAATATATGTGTTAATATTTGCTTTCAGTACCTTCAGGACCTGAAATTAGCGACAATTTCAGGTATCTCCTTACTTTGACTTCCAGCTCATACTGGAAGTTTGCAGCAATACTTGCCAATATCTTTGCATCACAAATTGTTCCTCTTGGGACTTATAATTTGCTCAAGCTCTGTTTGCTGATGAGTCTAGTACAGACAAGTAACCATAATAAGGAGCTGGAAGATTACCTGGATATTTTAATCATAACAAGTGATACTCTACTTGTAGACAGGTAAAATAGTGACGTACTTTTTCTCAAATTATAGATTGGTCACAGATTTGCATAAATCCTTTCCACAAGCATCATTAAAAGGCAAATATTTAGAATTTATCTGGGCAATATAAATAACTTAGAATTTTATCAGTGAAGTTCAAAACTTTTAAAACATGGAGTAAAAAATGGACTATTTGCTTTCCAACCACTCAAAATTTCAACCTATTTTCCCACCCAGACCTTTACAAATAAATGCATCCTTCATAGCCTTTCTTTCCCAATTCCTAGCTCAGTGTTCTGCTTTTGTACTTTGTTTTCATTTTAAAATAATCTCCTCACTAAGAACCAACAAGCTATTTTTTTTCTTCAAGTTTCCATTCATTAATATGGATTCAGTGCACCCAAATAAGGCTGCCAAAAGTACTAAACTTACATTTTGGATTATCACCCTAACTTCAGAATAAGTCTCTCATAGGCATTTGGGGCTCCTCACTAGCAAGTACCCTTTTTAAAAATTACTTAAATGTCAAAAAGCTAGGAATAAGCTTCTTATATTAATATCTTATATGGAATTGTAAAGCAAAAACAAATTCATGGAATGAATTTAAAATTTTTTAAATAAAATTCAAGTTAATTTTAACTCAGTTGGACAGATGACGTTTTGCTAAAATTAAATTGCAGTAAATGTGGCGCTGACTGCTACAGATTGCTCCAATTTAATCTCCCACTAATGAGTATGAAAGTATTGTTTCCTCATAGCCTCCCCAACAGTGCATGTTATCAAACTTCCAAAATTGCCATCTGATGGGTAGAAAAATGGTATTTTATTTTAATTTGCATTTCTTTAATTGGAAGTAAGTTTTGGCATCATTTAGAGCTTGTTAAACACTTGTATTATTTTTCTGTGAACCTCCTTGACCATTGTGCGTTTTTCTATTAAGTTGTTTATTTCTTATTGAAGTGGTATCTCTTGTAAATTAAAGCCTTTATCTCTTTTCCTGTTTGTCATTAACCTTTGGTTTTTTCTAAAATGGTCTTTGGGGCTGTATGAGAGATTTGTCTTTTGTTTTGTTTTTTAAGTGAAATTTATAATACAGTGAAATAACCAGATCTTAAGTATATAATTCGATGAATTTTGACAAACGCATGCACTCCTATAGCCAGCACCACCACGATATTCAGAGCATTTCCATCACCTCAGAAAGTTCCTTCATTCCCTCTTCCAATCAGTTCCTATCTCCACAGGTGATTTCTGTCACCATAGGTTAATTTTCTTATTCTTCAACTTTATATAAATAGAGTCATATAATGCATACTCTTTTGCATCTAGTCTCTCACTCAGCATGTTTTTGAGATTGACTCAGTTGTGTGTATCAGTAGCTCATTGTTTGTATTGATGAGTATTATTCCATTATGTGAATATGCCAGATTTTTTTTATCCATTCTCCTAGTGATGGACATTTGGGTCTTACACATTTTGACTATTATAAATAAAGCTGCTGAAAACATTCTATTACAAGTCTTTTTGTGGACGTATTTTTCCATTAATCTTGAATAAATTCTAGTTGTTTTTATCCTCACCAACATATGATGGTGTTAGTCAACTTCAATTAAGCCATACTAGTGTGCATGAAATGGTATCTCATTATGGTTCTAATTTGCATTTCCCTGATGACTACTGATTTGAACTGTTTTTCATGTGCTTATTGGCTACTCATGTATCTTCTTTTATGAAGTATTTTAAGTTCTTTGCTCATTCTTATTTTCTTTTACATTAAGGTTTAGTTGATATATACAATATTATATTAGTTTCTGTTTTACACATAGTGATTTGACAATTATATACATAATGCACTGTTTGCCACAGTAGGTGTAGTTGCCATATTTTTTATTACATACAAAGTTAGTTTTTATAATATTATTGATTATATTCTCTATACTGTACTTTTCATTCCAGTGACTTATTTATTTATTATTGTACCCCTTTATCCCTTTCACCTATTCTGTCCATCCCCCCACCCTCCTCTTCTCTGACAACAACCAGTTTGTTCTCTGTATTCTGTGTTTCTTTTGTTTCTTTTGTTCTTTAGATTCCACATATAAGTGAAATCATATAATATTTGTCTTTCTCTGTCTGATTTATTTCTATTAGCATAATACCCTCTAGGTCTATCTATGTTGTCATAAACAGCAAGATTTCAATCTTTTTTATGGCTGAGTAATATTCCATTGTGTACATATATAGATATACCACATCTTCTTTATCCATTAATCTATTGGTGGATACTTTGATTGTTTCCATATGTTGGGTATTGTAAATAGTGCTGCAATAGACAAGGAGTGCATATATCTTTTAGAATAGTTTTTTGTTTTCTATGGGTAAAGACTCAGAAGTGGAATTACCAGATCATATGGTATTTCTACTTTTAGTTTTTTGAGGAACCTCCATACTGTTTTCTATAGTGGCTGCGCCATATTACATTCTTACCAACAGTGCACAAGGGTTTCCTTTTCTCCATATCCTCACCCACACTTGTTATTTCTTGTCATTTTGATACTAGCCATTCTGATTGGAGTGAGATGATATCTCATTATAACTTTGATTTGCATTTCCTTGTTGATTACTGATGTTGAGCATCTTTTTGTGATCTATTGGCCATCTGTAGGTCTTCTTAGGAAAAATGTCTATTCAGGTTCTCTGCCTATCTTTTAATCAGTTTTTTTTCTTTTGGTGTTGAGTTATAAGAGTGATTTATATATATATATATTGGATATTAACTCCTTATCAAATATATTATTTGCAGTTATGTTCTCTGATTCAGTAGGTGGCTTTTTCATTTTGTTGATGTTTTTTTCTCTGTGCAGAAGCTTTTTAGTTTGATGTAATCCCACCTCTTTATTTTTGCTTTTGTTTCCCTTACTTTAGGGAGACATGTAAAAAAAATTGCTAGGGCTGATGTCCAGGAGTTTACTGCCTATGTTTTCTTTTAGAAGTTTTATGATTTTAGGTCTTACATTTAGGTCTTTAATCCATTTTGAGTTTATTTCTGTGTATGGTGTAAGACAGTGGTCCAATTTCATTCCTTTACATGTTGCAAAGGTTTTCCCAACACTATTTATTGAACAGACTGTCCTTTCCCCATTGTATATTCTTGCCTTTTTTGTCATATATTAATTGACTGTATAAACATGGGTATATTTCTCGGCTTTCTTTTCTGTTCCATTGGTCTGTATGTCTGTTTTTGTGCCAGTACCACATTTTTTTTTATTACTATAGCCTTGTAGTATAGTTTGAAATCAGAGAGCATGATACTTCCAGATTTGTTCTTCTTTCTCAAGATTTCTTTTGGCTAATTATGTCTTTTGTGGTTCTATACAAATTTAGGATTATTTGTTCTAGTTCTGTGAAAAATGCTATTGGTATTTTGATGGGAATTGCGCTGAATCTGTGGATTACTTTGGGGAGTATGAACATTGAAACAATACTAATTCTTCCAATCAATAGGCTTTGAATATCTCCATTTAGTTGTGTCATCTTCGATTTCTGTCATCAATGTCTTATAGTTTTCAGATTACAGGTCTTTCACATCCTTGGTAAAATTTATTTGCAAGTATTTTATTCTTTTTGTTGCAGTTATAAATGGGATTGCTTTTTTAATTTCACTTTCAGCTAGTTTATTAGTTTAAAAAACACAACAGATTTTGTATCCTGCAACTTTACTGAATGCACTTATATAGGGGTTTCTATATGTATTACCCCGTCATTTGCAAATAGTGACAATTTGTTTCTTCCCAACCAGGTTGGATGACTTTAATTTCTTTTTCAAGCCTGATTGCTGTGGCTAGGATTCCAGTACTATGTTGAACAAAAGTAGTGACAGTAGATATCCTTCTCTTGTTTGTGATCTTAGAGGAAAAGACTGAGATTTTCACCATTGAGTATGACATTAGCTGTGGGTTTGTCATATGTCATTTATTATTATATTGAGGTGTATTGCCTCTATACCATTTTGTTGAGAGTTTTTATTGTGAATGGATATTGAATTTTGTCCAGTGGTTTTCTGCAACTATTAAGATGAATAAATGGTTTTTATCCTTCCTTTTGTTAATGTGGTGTATCACATTGATTCGTGGATGTGGAAATATCCTTGCATCCTTGGAAATAGTCCCACTTGATCATGGTGAATGATCCTTTTAATGTATCATTAAATTTGGTTTGATAATATTTTGTTGAGGATATTAGCATCTATGTTATTCAGAGATATTGGTCTATAATTTCAGTTTCTTGTAGTGTCTTTGGTTTTGGTATTTGGGTAATGCTGGCTTCAGAGAATGAATTTGGAAGCATTGCTTCCTCTTCTGTTTTTTGGAATAATTTGAGAATGATAGGTATTAAGTCTCTAAATATTGGTAGAATTCACCTGTGAAGCCACTGGTCCTGGACTTTTGTTTTTTGGGAATTTTTTGATGCCTGATTCAATTTTGTTATTAGTAATCAGTCTGGATTTTCTATTTCTTCCTGGTTCAATCTTGGAAGATTGTTATGTTTTTAGGAATTTATGCAATTCTTCTAGGTTGTGCTATTTGTTGCCATATAATTTTTCATAGTAATCTCTGTGTATTTTTGTGGTGTATCATAGTATTTCTGTGATATCAGTTTCAGTTCTACTCCTTCATTTCTGATTTTATTTATTTGGATCCTTTATCTTTTTTCCTTGATGAGTGTGGCTGAAGGCTTATCAACTTTTTTTTTTTATCTTTTCAAGGAACCAGCTTTTAGTTTCATTCACATTTTCAATTTTTTTAGTCTCTATTTCATTTATTTCCATTCTGCCCTTAATTAATTTTTTCTTTCTTTTTAACTTTGGGCCTTGTTTGCTCTTCTTTTTTTAGATCCTATAGGTGTAAGGTTAGGTTGTTTGAGATTTTTCTTATTTCTTGAGGTAGGCCTATATCACTATAAGCTTTACTCTTGGAACTGCCTTTGCTGTGTTCCAAAGATTTTGAACCATTGTGTTAATATTTTCATTATTCCCTGGGTATTTTTTTATTACTTCTTTGATTTATTGACCCATTGGTAGTTTAATAGCATTTTTTTTTAGCCTTCAAGTGTTTGAGTTTTTCCAGTTTTTGCTTGTAATTGATATCCAGTTTCATATTCTTATGATTGGAAAAGATGCATCATATGATTTCAGTCCTCTTAAATATATTGAGACTTGTTTTGTGGCCTAACATGTGGTCTAGCCTAAAGAATGTTCCATGTGAGCTTGAAAAGAATGTATTCTGCTCTTTTGGGTTGGAGTGTTCTGTATGTATCTGTTAAGTCCATCTGGTCCAATATGTCATTCAGAGCCACTGTTGCTTTATTGATTTTTTTGTCTGGATGATCTATACATTTATGTAAATGGAGTGTTAAAGTCTCCCACTATTATTTTATTAATGTCAATTTCTCTCTTTATGTCTGTTAATACTTGCTTTATATAGTTAGATGCATATATGTTGGACAAATAGATATATAAATTATATCTTCCTGCTGGATTAGTCCCTTTATCAATATGGAATACCCTTCTTAGTCTCTTGTTACATTTTTGTTTTAAAGTTTATTTTGTCTGATATAAGTATTGCTACTGCAGCTTTTTTTCACTTCCATTTGCATGGAATTTTTTTTGCATTCCTTCACTTTCAGTCTGTATGTGCCTTTAAGTTTTCAGTGAGTCTTTTGTAGGCAGAATATAGATAGATCCTGTTTTTTAATCCATTCAGTTGCATATGTCTTTTGATGGACCATTTAGACCATCTATATTTAGAATGATTATTGCCATTTTTTAAATTGTTTTCTGGTTGTGTTTGTTGATCTTCTCTATTCCTTTCTTCTTTAATTCTCTTCATTTGTGAATGATAATCTCTTTTGTGTTATACTTGGATTCCTTTTCTTTATGTTTTGTGTCCCTATTAAAGGTTTTTGGTTTGTATTTACCATGAGGTTTGTAGATGACATCTAAGTATATAGATTATATAGTATATATTAAGCTGATGATCACTTAAGTTTGAATTCATTCTAATACTTTGCTTACTTTTAAATGGGGTTGTTCTGGATGTACATCCCTGTCACATATATGTACCATTAAATTCTTTTCTCAATCTAACACTTGCATTTTTTTCTTAAAAGATATCTTTGATAAACTGACTTTTTAGTTCTGATGAAATCCAAATTATTATTTTCTTCTACATTCAGTGTTTTCTGGGTTCTGTTTAAGAAATATGTGCCTAATACAACATCATAAGATATCCTTTTATATTTTATTCTAGCATTATTGTCCTAGCTCTCACATTTGGTCTGTTTTATGTTACAAGTAATCTTTGTATATGGTATGAAGTAGGAGTCACACCATATACAAACTCTTCCAATCCGTGAATATGGTATATATCTCCATTTATTTAAATCTTCCATAATTTCTCTCAGCAATGTTTTATAAAAGTCATGCATATATATTATTGATTTCTAAGTATTTGTATATTTAATACTATTAAAATGGTAGTTTTATAAAGTTTATTTTTGAAATATGTGCTGGGACTATATAGAAATACCACTGATTTTTGTATTTCTATGACCTTATATCAGTATTTGAAAAATTCCTTAGCTGGTTTCAATATGTATCCAAATTTGAGGGCCATTGTTCAGTGTAAATAGGTTCTCAGTCTGACTGCACATTAGGATCACCTGGGAAAATTAAAAAAGAAAATTTTTGAATGTGGCCCATTCCCAGAGATTCTCATTTACATGCTTTGAGGTGGGGTTTGGCATTGGTATTTTTTAAAATTCCCCAGATGATTTTAATGTGAACTACAGTTGAAAAATACTGCTCTATTGGCTTGCAAAAGTTTCTTTCTAAATCTTGCTCCCCCATTTTATGTATCTTCAAACTAACATCCAAATTTCTTGGAATGGCGCATACACTAGACATTTTATAGCATCTACCTATCCTATGATATCTGCACATCATAGCTGATTATGCCATTAAGCTATGTAATGGTAGGAATTTGTAAGCTAATTATATTCCTCTCTTAGAATTAAAATTTGAAAAAATGAAGAGGCTGAGGCAATTGGCAAAGAGATTAGAAAGCAAAAGGATGTATCAAGAATTACCATGATACATAGGCAGCAGGGATAGTCAGGACAAGCTGTTAGTAAGCCTAAAAGCAAAAATTTTGAATAAACAAAAGAAAGCAATCTATAAAAAGACAAAGGCCCAGTTTAAGTGTCATCTCTCTGTAACTTTCTCTGACTTCTTTCCAGGAAGAAATAATACTCTTTTATGGATGTTCTCAACATTATTTTTGTACTTATCACATTCTGTTTTAGTTTTCTCTTTATGTCCCTCTTTCTAGGCATGAGCTTTACAAATTAAGGAGCTTTACAAATTACAAATTTCATATGTTTTTATCCCTAACACAAGTACTCAATAAATATTGAATCAGATTAAATTCAGTTGTGTAGCTGTTAAACATAAGAATTATGAAAATCAAATATTAAATGATAGTAGTGAATAACTTTTTTTTTCCCTTAGGCTTTTGAATTTTAGTATAAACCTTGTGCCCCGTGGTATACGTCATCCAGTCTCTACTGAAATTTTTCCTACTCTGTCCAGGAATAAGTATGGAACTGGAGCAGTTAGCATTCAAGCTGGCAGTGCTTTGCTAGCTAAAGGTGGTATCTGCTTTATAGGAGACTTGGCTTCACACAAAAAAGATAAACTTGAACAGCTTCAATCAGGTAAACAATATTTTTAAAGTTAATTTTCACCTGTTTAACTTACAGACTTATCACTGTCAGGGAGTTACTTAACAGCTAAAATTCTACATATTTTAGGAATTGAGAAATTATATTATGTGACCTTTCTCATTTTACCTTTATAAATAAATTTTTACAAAAGGAATTTCATGTGTTAATGCTGTTTTACCCTTTGCTCTCAGTTGTCCTAACACATGAGTTTGTATTGGGCCCTATTTATTTCCTTATCTTGTCTTATTGCATTAGCTAGGACTTCCAATATGATGTTGAAAAGCAGTGGTGAGAAGGGACGTCAAGGGACATCCTTGTCTTGTTCCTGATCTTAGCAGGAAATCAAGTTTCTCATCATTAAGTGTGATGTTATATGTAGGTTTATGTAGATGTTCTTTTTCAAGTTGAAAGAGTTATCTTCTATTCCTAATCTACTGAGAGTTTTTTTTAATAAAATGAGTATTGGATTTTAGCAACTGCTTTTTCTGTATCAATTGATGTAATACTGTGGTTTTTCCTCTGTAGCCTGTTGATACAGTGGATTACATTAATTGCCTTTCAGTTGTTGAACTACCTTTGCATACCTAAAATAAATCCTACCTGGCTGTGGGGTATAATTCTTCTTATACGTTGTTGGACTCAGTTTGCTAAGATTTTGTGAAAGGATAGAAAAGAGAATAGAATGTTTCCACATATTTTTGTTTGGGTTTTAAGTGTATGAAACATGATAGCCCTAATTGTGAGTAATGCACACAGAACCATTTGAGGAGGAGAAATACTGAATTTGGTTTTGAACATGAGAATTTGATGTATATATTTCCCTTAACCATTGTAGTTCATCTTCTTTGTCAATCTTTTTCTCTTTTACTCCTACACAGATGGCTTACTTCCTTTTATTTGTTTTCCATATTAAAGAATGTTGTTTAATTTCAGCTCCTTGTAAGCCTGCACTATATGACAAATTTCCTAACCCTCAGTCTGCGCCACCCACACACTGACCACAATTCTGGCCATATGTCCCAAGTCATGGGACACATAAACCTTCAAATATTTTTCTTGCCCTGTTCTTTGTATATTCTTTTTATCTAATTTAGCCATATCTTACAAAACAATCAAATTTACTTGTATCTTTACTATCCAAAGTGTAGATGTTAAAATTCTTCATATTTGTTATTAATTTGTATATATATATATATATAGACTAAAATGAACTTAAATAACAAATGGGTAATATCTTCTGATTTAGTTGTAGAAAGCAGAAGCATCACAGTGCACATCCCAGGAAAGAAGTATGGGGATGATATTGATCAACAAATGACTTTTCCAGTTCAGTGCAGTTTTTGGACTTTTGTTGATATGGATTCATCTTCAAGGAGGAATATGCAGAAAACCAACACTCTAATTGGTCAGATGGTAAGGTATATGTATATTTTATTGTCTGAATGTTGTTCAGGAATTTTAATCACAGACTTTAGTCTTAATGTTTTTCTTGTTTTTAATGTTTTATTATTAACCTGTCCTATACTTAATCAGGTACTAGAACTAAGTAATGACACAGTTGTTTGAAATTTTTCATGTCATTTAGTCATGCAAAGGAAGTGTCTGCTCATTATTTGAGTAAGTAGTGGGGAGGTATTAATGATAATGTGTAAGAAAATACTCAGTGAAGAGCATTTTTAAAAAATTGGTCTCTATAAGTTCCCACCTATTCAAGAGTCATTCTAAATAATAAATAATAACAAAATAATTTTTATAATTATTATTTCATTTAATATAATCAAATATTATAACAATATAAATACATTAATGATTTAAATGATAAATGCTTAATTTATAAATATTCCAAAGTGTTTGTGAAAATGCCAGAGTTTAATGTTTGCCTTTTACATTTTCATTTGATATAGGATTACAGTTTGATTCCAGTTAATCTTGTAGAGACATTTGGGTTGTTGATTAACTGCAATGAATCATCTCCTTGTCACTCATTTCTTCCTACTGTGCAACACACTTTAAAGAAAGCCATTGAGCCTGAAGGGCTGCTTCATGTAGCTTCTAAGCAGTTCACAACTAATGATTTTGAAAAGGTAAAGGTAGAAAAATGATTACCAAAATACTTGTGCTGATGTTTCTCAATTTAAATAGAGCTTTCTTTAAGTAGTCAATTTTGTTTATTTAGGATTCTTTTATTTCAATTCCTTCTGGCTTTTAGATACCTTAAGGACATTATATAGAAAATATTTAGAATTATAATTAAATAGAAAACTATATAAAGACATAGATATTAGAATGTTGAGTTTATTCTTTGTACCACTATCCAAATCACCAAAGCTTGAAGAATCTCAATGAAAAGAAAGTCAAAATTGAATATTTCTATAGAAAATTATGAAAAGAGCTTGTGTAGATATAGGTGATATAGTTTTTTATATTCTGCAGATGATTCAAAGAGATTCCTGTTATATAAATTTTATCAAGTCAGAGTTCTGACTTCAGGGAATCTGTCATGCCTCACTAGCCCACTTTAATGTTCTGACATGAAAACATGTGTGGCATGTTCAGAGACCTGAAAGTAGGTAATGTAAATTTAGTAATGATTCTCATAGCTATTAAAGATATTCAAGTATTTACAAGTGAAGCCCTTTTAGTATTAACTATTCAGAAATCCATCCACAGTAAAGTAGGTAGGATAGATAAAAGGCAGGGAATGTTGGGAAATGGGAGTCCATCGGTCATTACAATTTTTTTCATACCTGCTTTACTTGTAGGCATATTACATGGGTAAAAAGCTGAAAGGTGAGATGGACTTAAAAATGAATTATGAGCATGGTTTATTCACATAGATTAGAACAGAAAAGGAATAATATTTATGATACATTAAGGTTTTTTTATTTGTTTTAGTATATAAGAAAAAAGTGGCTAATCTATAAGAATTAGGGTACTGAATATATAGATACACAAATAAGCCAGAGATATTTTTGCCCAGTTTTCCCCTGAAAGAAAAACAAAAACTATGAATTTATTAATTAGTCAGCTATTTACTGAATATTTTATATAGTTGAATCTATTTCTGTTCTTTTATAGTATAAAAAAACAAAATTCATCCAAGTAAATTTGAAAATCTAATTGACTTTATTAAGTGTGATTCATGAATCAGCAAGTAGAGAGATGCTCCAAAGGGCACACAACAGAAAGGATGACAGGCAGGACAAGAAAGTCATAAACAGAAAAAACAAAAAAGGACTATTTTGGGTGAGGTCACCTTCATTTGGGACAAAAGGGTCTTATTAGGTGGATTGCTTTGGAGGCAGAGAGGACAACTGTGACATTATCTTATCCATGCTGACCAGAAAGTTCCTGACTGACTGCATTTCTGGGGGAGGTTGAAACTGCAGTTTAGTTAGGCATTAAGCCCTAGTTTGATGACTTGGCCTGGCAGAAGTGACACCATGTTGAACCTATGTCTTTCTTTTTAACAATAGTTTCACAGGAAAGGAAAGAAGATATATAAATTTTCTTCCTTAAATAGTTTATCACTTAGTTCAGGTAAAAGCAAGATGTACAAAATAATTAAAGGACAATTTAAGTGCTAAGCTGGGTGGTGCTGACTGTAAGTATTTTCGGAATTCAGTTAGGAAAATACCAAGTAAAATGCAAGAGTTGGAAGTACTTCACAAAGGAGATTGACCATAAAAAAGTTGGGCCTTCAGAAAAGGTGAGATTTAAATGATAGGAAAGATGGGCATTCTAAACAGAAATAAGAAAAGGAGCAGACATGAAAGTAGAAATGTGTATACATGGAAAACTGAGAAGACCTGCCTGACTGTAGCAAAAATATTATGGAGTCATCAAGATTAGTATTTGGCAAATTTACAATAAGCCTTGAAGATCAGACAAAAGAGTCTATAGTTGATTCATAGACTTTATTAGACTAGTGAAATAGTGAAGATGATTTCTCCAGAAGATAAATCTGTCCATCCCACAAGATTGGATGGAATCTGTTGCATCTGGGCTCTCCAGGAGGCAGACTGAGATGGGGTTTAGTGTGCCATTGCTTAGTAAGGAATACTCTTCTTTCAATATCTATAGAAGGGATAAGGAAGCAGGATTGGGCAGAGGAAGGGGTCAAGCTGTGATGCAGGCCCAGAGATAGCCTCTGGTGGCCCCACAATGAGCTCTTGGAGCTAAAGGACCCGACAGAATTGTTCTGCTTTGGAAAGAAACAGAGGAGCCTTATAACATCCCCTCCCCCCTACTTTCTCCTCAATCATTCATTTGATGTGGGCTGCCTTGAGGCAATCTTTGAAGAAGTTGACAACTGGAGGCCAACCCCAACAGTACTCCCAGTTGCTGGGGCAAAAAATCCTTTCCTGTAGGGCAATTTAGGTGGCATATTATTGTGCCTCCATAGGATAAAACCAAGAGAGGGCTACTGGTATCATTAATAGTATCATTATTCAGTTCTGAAGGCCTGGGGGGAACTGAGGAGTGTAAAAAGAATAAAGAAGACAGGACATATGCAGATCCTTTAAAAAGTTATGTATAAATGTAAATATTATAGTTAATAGCAATCTTATTGTTACAGGGAGGAGTCTTTCTCATCCCTTGTCCATGTGCCCTGGGGAACCCCTCTTCCAGTGCACATGGATAAGGAATACAAAGCAAGATGAGAAGGCTAGAAGACAGTTTTATTTAGCAAGAAGTACACTCTTGAAGAGAGAGCAGGCAGCCTGAGAGGTCAGGACCAGCACTGCTTATCTGAATGCTTGTTGGTTTTACAGAAAGTATGAGGGGTGGATTAACAGGTTCAGATCATATAACTGCTTTGAGTCTGTGCTGCTCTTACTCATAATGCATACAGAAAAACCCATGGGTGATGGGGAACGTTCTAATGATGATGTGAATGGGCCAAGGTCATTCTCAGACATGTTTCAGTGCCCTTTGCACAAGCATCAGCCTTGGGGATTTAATGCTAATTTAATCTGATGATCATGTGAATGGGCCATGGTCTCATGGACATGTCTTGGTATTGTTTGTGCAGGAATCAGCCTTGGGGATTTCCCATCCCTGTCTTACTTCTTGTTTTAGGCAAAGAGTGGGTATAAACCCATCTAGAAAGGTTATGGGCTTCTACCTCTCCCTTCCTTTCTGCCTAGTCTAACACAGGCAGGAGGAGAGACATAAAGGAAGAGGTACTAGACTGAGTCAAGGAGGAGGCACCAGGGACCACCATGAGTATAGGAAATGGATTCTTGGAAGTTGAGTCTATAACCTATAGGGAGAATGTGCTGTGGGGTGGGGTGGGTTGTTTTGCTTCACAGTTACCTCAATGCACAGACACAGTCTTGAGGTTGGCAGGTAGCCTAGATACCAATCTAACCTCTGTGACCAACTTATCCTCACATGGGAGACTTATTGTAGGTGGTGACTGCTCTAGTGGCTTTTAAATTGTCAACCTGTGCCCACCTAGGAAGAGGCAAAAACAACCAAGGATCCAAGAGAAAAAGACAAGGAGTCCTTAAAGTAGCATAGATAGAATCCTTCTTGGCTACATCATTACTGAGTGCAGTATGAAGATTACTCGTGGTCACCAAAATGTTGTTGGGCATCCAATCTGGGGAGATCTCTCTGTGCCCTAGGTGAGACCACAACCTGTGGAAGGGTTCTTGACTCTGATAGAGAAAGAATTCATCAACAGGTAGAGCAGGTAAAAGCAAAAAGTAGTTTAATAAAGCAAAGTATGCTCTCAAGGATGGAGTGGTAGGCATGCTCCAGAGGTGAGCAGCATGATGGGCTTTGGGTTAGGTAATCTTACAGCTGCAGTTTAAGCAGGAGTGGAATATTCATCAGGTTAGGTGGGGTTTTCTGGGAATAGGGAGGGGATTTCTGGGAAATAGGGTGATGCTCTCCTTTTGTCCTTAGATGGTCTTCCTTGGAACTGTCATGGTGCCAAGGGGTGTGATTTTTAGTATGCTGATGAGTGTGTAATGTACTTTGAGGTGAAGTCAGGTTTAACTTCTCTTCCATGTTGGAACCAGTCAGTTTTGGTAGGTCTGATATGTATACCCTCCCACCCCACATCCCACAAGAACAGTTTACATGGAATGTTTAGAATACAAACAAGCATCTAACTGAATGTAAACACCAGCCAGAGTCCCCAAATCCTTTCCTGCTCATGTCTGGCTATCTACCTGCGATAACATTATCATGGTTAATTTTTCCTTTTGGTTCTGAGTTAAAAAAGCAGAAAACAATCAGGATGCTGAAAAGTCTGGAAATTTTGTCATTGAATAAGGACTTAAGGAACTGGGAATTACTCAGAAAGTCACAAAGGACAAAACTCAGAGAAAACAGTGACAATCATTTTGTTGAAGATTTTCCTTTACCCCAAATTTTACTGAATCGCCAAGGCCCACCTTCACAGTGCCTCCCACATTCCTCATATTCAGTTGTGTTCTTTAAAAGGGAGGAGGGGAAGTAGGAGGACAAGTAGCTCTAGGGCCTGTGAGAGAAAGTTAAAAGGAAATAAACTCAAAGAATGAAAGCTATTCAGAGGGAAATTAGGTTCTCAGGAAGGTCTCTCTCCCACGAGTAAGCCTTTATTCCACTGGAAGCAGACTTGATAGTCATTCAAGTACATTGCACAGAACATTTCTGCAGTAAAAGGGAGGAAGAGATTACTCTGGGTAAACTTTAATATTCTTTACAAGCGTAAGGCTATGATTTAGAGTGCTCAGTGACTGTAGCATGGCCTCAGATATTTAATCAGGATTGATGTCAATAAATAAAACATGCAAACTTTTAAAAATAAAATGACAATCTTCTTTGGTTTTTATAATATAGATTCCATAATAAAGTTTGAATTATATTTTTCACGTTTTTGATTTAGCTGCTGGCCTTTGCAAAGAATTTGAATGTAGAATTCAGCTTGGAGGCAGAAAGAATGATACATGGCTATTACCTAGCAAGTCGCAGAATCAGAACAGATTCTATATATGGATCAAAATTATCAGCATCTGCATTAAAATATTTGTAGGTATTCAATACAAAATTTTAAAGCCAAAATTTACTTTTCAATAATGTAGCTATTTATCTTTGTCACTTCTTTTTTCTTTGATTGCTGGTTGGTTGGTTTATAATTTACCTGTTGCAAAAGAATTTAAGATGGCCTAACAATTCCTTTTGTTATATTGTTGCATCATTTGTACTTGCAATCATTTGTTTTCACTAAATTAATTTTTATTAGACTTTCTGATGAGGTGTGTTTGAGAAAAGTACCTGATTTCAAATGCAAACTATTATTAATGTGGCTGTTCATATTCCAGGTATTTTGTAGTAAAACCCAGAAAAAACTCTTAAGTATATTGTTCTTATGCTTTTAAATACTATTATTGTTCCTTGAAAAATTTTTTTTCTAATTTTTCTTATAAAAGTAAAATATGCACATAGTAAAAGAAAGGTCTAAAATAGTAAAGTATCCTACTAACCTACCCATTCCATTCCTATCCCACTTCCTAGAGACAATCACTTTCAACAGTTTTTATGTATCTTTCCAGAAATTATACATTCAAATACTAGCCTAAACTAATGTTTAAATATATATATATTAAATATGTTATTTGAATGTTATATATTTTAGATGCATATGTTATTTAAACATATGTAGGTGGTCCCTTACAATGGTTTGACTTATGATATTTTGACTTTATGATGGTGTGAAAGCAATATGCATCCAGTAAAAATCATACTTTGAATTTTGAATTTTTATCTTTTGTCAGGCTAGCCATATGTGGTAGGATAGTTCCTCATAACGCTGAGTAGTGGCAGTGAGCCACAACTCCTAGTCATCCTCACAATCACAAGAGTAAACCACAGATAGACTTAAAACCATTCTGTACCCATACAACCATTCTGTACCCATACAACCATTCTCTTTTTTAGTTTTGGAACAGAATTCAGTAAGATACATGAGATATTCAATACTTATTATAAAATAGGCTTTGTGTTAGATGATTTTGCCCAGCTGTAAGCTAATGTAAGTGTTTTGAGCATGTTTAATGTGGGTAGCAAAACTGAACTATTATAATCAGTAGGTTAGGTGTAATACATACATTTTTGATTTATGATATTTTCAATTTACAGTGGGTTTATCAGGACATAACCCCATCATAAGTTGAGGAAGATCTATAAATATAAATATGTAATATATAAACATAAATATGTACGTATGTTCATATGTATGTTCTTTTTTGCCCAAATGGAATTATGCATGGTTTACATATACTATCAGCACATAAAGAATTACCTCATTCTGTTTTAATAGCTGCGTTACAGTTTTACTGTGTTGTGATGTGGCTGTATCATCCTATTGACACAAAATTGCTTTGTTTGATATAGATTAATGTGTAATCTCAAACAAATTATGAAGTAGTACCAGGAGTAAAATAACCCATTAAATAAATAAGTATTTTGTTATAACTGCAATATAAAATAAAACAGGTGAAGAATTGGCAGAAAATGTCAAGTATAGGTCTATAAGAGATAAATGTTTAGTTAATTTCCCCAACTGTATATCTTCATAGAACTGAAAAAAAAAATGCTAAAGATAAAACAAGGTAGAAATCAACTGTGATGTTTTAAAATGGTTTTAAAACAGAATTGTATAATGCTTTCTACCTTCTAAAGTAATATTTTAAAAAATCAATACTCAAAGCTTAAAAGCTTGAAAGTCCTATTTTCTCATAAAGTTTTTTTAGGTGTAGTAAAAAAAGATATATTTTATTTAAACTCATAACCTCAGCTTACATCTGATTATATTGATCCAAAAATATCTTAATATGATAACTCTACTCTTTTCCATTGTAGAAATAAACACTAGAGGTGGAGATGGGGTTTATAAAATAGCAAAGTAAATGAATCACTACTCAGAAGAGTCGTTTATAGATAGATACAAATAACACCATCCTTGCTTTTCTAGAGAAGTGGAACTGAACCATACTCTGTTCTCTTTGTTCTGTCCTGATCAACATTTTTAGGAGGATCTTGGGTGAGAACATCAGGAAAATGATAATCAAATTTGTAAATAAACAATGTAAGAATTTTTATGCCTCAGATGATGATCTTAGTTTAACGAAAAAGCAAATTAATAGGATAAATGTAATACTCATTTAGGTCCCAGCCTCCCTAGTACAAGTGTGAATGGATGGGAAAAAGAATTATGTGGCTTTATATGAGAAAGATTTGAGATTTCATTCTTTTTATGTTTACTATGAGTAAACAATGTAATATGGCTGTTAATAATATCATGATTTGGAGTTGTATTAATAGAATATAATATCAAGAGTAAGAAAATGCTAGTTCTGCCTCACCTCTACTCTGCTGGTCAAATCATACCTAAGTACTGCACTGAAAAGGAATATTAACCAAATCTAGACATGAGTAGAGTAGCCAGGATGATGAGAGGTCTGAAAATTATGTCTCATGACATTAAAGGAATTAGGAATATTAATGTTGGAGAAAATAAAACAGAGAGTAACTAGAATAGTTGTCTTTTCATATTTAAGAGCTATCACATTTAAGAAGTATTAGACTTATTCTGTAATCCCAGAAGACAGAACCAGGGACCAGTGGGTGGAAACTGCAGTGAAACCAATTTCAGCTTACATTTATATGATCTTTGTGGGTGAGTCCCCAAATTTTCAAATGCTTTATTTTAAATCATGATAACCGTATGAATTATTAGTACTCCCATTTTATAGCTGAGCTTCAAAAAAGATACAAATTAAATGGTTTATACAAAGTCACATAGCTAGTAATTCTAGAGACTTGGCCCAGGTTTTCTGGTTCCCAAGTCCAGCAACCATTCAAGTATATTATACAAACTTACTGAGGGCTTAAAGAAGATTTTTTCAGGTAACCAAAGCTAATTCAAAAATAAGAAATAAAGGAATGGATTGCCTTATGATTCCTAGTGAATCCTAGGAAAAGTTCAAGAGATTGAATTTGCGATGTTAAAGAGAAAATTCAGTTGTGTATGGGAGTTTGAACTTTGATCCCTGAGATTTCTTCCAACACTGAAATTTCAAGATTCTATGAGGACTTCAAATAGATGAACAACTGAAAGAAAACTGCAAGGATGTATGTGTAAGTGACAGTTAAATTTCCCAACTGTGTATTTATCTGAATAAAACTTGGGGAGAAGGTATAGAATAATAAAGATAAGCCAGGGAGGAAACCAACTCTTTGATAATTTTTTAAAAGAAAAAATATGCTGATCTTTAAGATGTGGCTTATGTTCACACGTCTTGGTTTGTTCCTGCCAAAATATATATTATCTTTATAGTATCAACATATTTTGAATGACACCAATTTTCTTTTTTAGAATTTCCCTGTCTGAAGCCCATGCTCGACTGAACTTAAGAAAGAAAGTGCTTAAAGAAGATGTACTAATTGCAGCTTTATTATTTGAAACATCTCTCACATTGAAATATGGTAATCTGTTTAATTAATGATCACTACAAATAATTATATTTAAACTTAAATATTCTTAGTCTGTTAAAGTGTTATATATATTCTTAGTCTGTGAAAGTGTTACATATCAGGAAAGACCTGTTCACCTTTGAACATTTACTATTTATAGGTAGTATCATTATCTGATATTAAGTTCTTTATTGTGCATGATTGTTTCTATAGTTAAGCTTTTGAATTGCTTAAAGAATTCTGAAAAAATGTGTACTTAATACAACACATGAAATAATTCTTTCTTTTAAAATAACATGCAACATTTAATTGTCAAGCAGTCTTCCACAGTTAGGCACATAGCCAAATAAAATGATTATCTTGCATCACCGCCTTCTCTGAATTGTAAGTTATAATACTATGTCCATAGCACTTAATTATTAGAAATGAATGGACTTATAGTTTTGCAAATAAAAACATAAGAACTGTCTTAAGAGTAAAGAGAGTTATTTTATACTCACAGAGAGTTCTTTGTTGAATTAAATGAGACATTAATTTTTGATGAGATATACCATCCTTAAAACCAAACTTTGATTCCAACCCTGGACTTAAAGGATATATTAATACTGACTTCTCTGTGTGTATGTTTGGTGCTTAAATTTGCTTTCAGTTCAGTTGATAATGTAATAACTTTTTGCAAAGATCCATTAGAACATTACAACTTTGTTCTATAATTATCTAAATCAAGTGTTCTTAACTTAGAATCCATGGATACTTATAGAGTTCTAGTGGCTCCTGAATCCCTAAGTTATATGTAATTTTGTATACTTATATGCTTTATACCTTATTGCTTAGGGAGATGTACCATGAAGAATGTTTTAGAGGTTCATGACCCCTAAAAGAGGTTATCATCCTAAATTAGTTTTACATACCAAAAGAGAAAAATATTAAGTACTAAATAAGAAGAATAAATATCTTTATTTTTATTTAAATATTTTTTATTTTTAATTTGCTTTATCTTTATAGTCTTCTTTTATCCCGTATTTTTAAATATGCTTGTTAAAATCAAAGAACCATTTTATGTACTATAAATTAAAAATGCTACCAATTTTACTGATATGTCATCAAAATTGTTAAGATACAAAATTTCAGTAAGAAGACAAAAATGTGTGTTTGAATTTAAAAACTCTGGTATAATATTAAGTACTTCTGTGGAAGAATATAGCTGTTTTCACTTGGTAACTATATTGTCAGGGCTTTCTTTTTTTTGCTCTTTTGGTATCATTAATCTACAATTACATGAAGGACATTATGTTCACTAGGCTCGCCCCTTCACCAAGTCCCCCCCCACATACCTGTTCACAGTCACTGTCTATCTGCTTAGTAAGATGCTGTAAAATCACTACTTGTCTTCTCTGTGTTGCACAGCCCTCCCTGTGCCCCCACCCCACGCACTATACATGCTAATTGTAATGCCCCCTTTCTTTTTTCCCGCCCTTATCCCTCCCTTCCCACCCGTTCTCCCCAGTCCCTTTCCCTTTGGTAACTGTTAGTCCATTCTTGGGTTCTGTGCTTCTGCGGCTGTTTTGTTCCTTCAGTTTTTCTTTTGTTCTTATACTCCACATATGAGTGAAATCATTTGGTACTTGTCTTTCTCTGCCTGGCTTATTTCACTGAGAATAA